TTGTGACCCGATGTTGAGCATGGTGTAAACAACTGCCTATAGTGGCCGATGGAGATGTAACCGATGGTCTTACCTGTTATTTTTAGTTGATTAGGGTTTTCTGGGAGAAGGAGTGATTTATTTTTGTGAGAGTTTTTTGTTGGTTTCGCAGGATGGAGAAATTTGATTTTCGTCTTTTGTTTTCTCAAATAGTAGATATTTGGCAGAAGGTGGATAGCAAATAGGCTCCGATACCAACTAATGCAAAAGAAATAGTGGTTTAAACTAACTTGTCTCACATCTAATTTAGTAATAGAGGAAATTTAGACTAGAAGCAAAGAAATAAAGACAGGTTAGAGGAAATAAGAGAATATAGGGAGAAATAGAGAGAACGAGAGAGGTTAGACAGAGCAATAATCAGAAAAACAAATGCTTAGAGATATAATAGTGAATCAAACTCTAATGAAAATTTTTTTAGTTCATCTTCGTTTATATCTTGTTGGTAGCTGCTAGCCTTTTACATGCATTAGTTACAATTAATAAGGAAAATTATAAGAGAGGAAATCTAAAAAGTTCTAATTCCTATAATATTTAAGTCAACCTAAAGAAAACTTAAATATTATGATGCCTAATAAATCGAAATAACTTAAAATACGCAATAGTAATAATTATCAGAAAAGTTTTCTTTAATAGAAAAAATGGTTCCAACTTAAGATCTTCCGCTTTGCTTGCCCTCTCTCTCATGCGCTTCTATAGGTCTCTTCCCAATCTTTTATTGCCACTTGTCTCGCATGATATACTTCTCCAATCGCCTCCAAACTCTCCCATTCCAATGCCTCTTTATTCATGAGTTCAATTTGCAGGAAAAAAAAAGAGATGAGAGAGAGAATAGATTAAAGTTCAGAGAGGGAGCAAGAGTAAGAAAATAATAATTCTTAAATAGAGGGGTAGATTCTGTATCTCAATAAACCTAACCATGTTATTTTAATGGCTGTTAGAGTTGACTTATCTTAAAAAAAAATTATCTCAAGAAAAGGTTAGAGTTAACTTTGGAAGAGTAATGTTAATTTTTAAAATGTGAATAAGACAAGTAATGTTTTGGTATAATATCTATGTGTAGTAATTATTTTTATAGAATAGCACAAACAGAGTAATGTTTTGTTAATTTGTTCATAAGCATAAATATTTGTAAAAACTAGTCAAAATCAATGGCAGCCAGTAAAAAAAATTGGGTTCAATTAAAATTAACCAGTTCAAATAATGAGATTTAATTATTTTTAGTGTCCTTTCATTTTATTCAGTATTTAATGATGAAATTTAAAAATTTAACAGAATAAAATATAAGATGTTATATATTTTTGCAAGTAAAAATGATCAAGAAAATATTTAAATTATGGAAATTTTTTTGTCTTAATTTTATTATTTTATATGTTTATTTTTTGAATTAGTGATTCAAGCAATGGACCACTAACCGGACCAGCCAGCAAATTAGTGAACTGATACCTTAACTGTTTCAATAATCAATGCATTTTTTATAACTATGTTAACATACATTTCTTGAGATGAATGCTCTACTCGCTCCCAAACATGTAGTCTCCACTCAAAATGTGGGGAAAGGAGCACTTTTTACCTGCTGTATTACTTCTGCTGATATTTTTTATTGGTTATATTTAGTTTATAAGTTATCGCAATGGTACCAGGTGTCTACCTTGGTCTTATTATTGTTGCATTTCTGGAAAAGAAGAAATAAGAATAGACTTTGATGAGTGGGTTTTTCCATTTAATTATAGTACATCCTTTGATTGTTCTTTATTGCCCAATAATAGTTGTTTAATTATTATTTGAGCTCCTTTTGGACCCTACATCTGAAATGCATGCCCATATATACATATAGTTTAGTCAAAGGCAGATTGCAATGGAGCTTCACTGCTTTTTTTGGTTTCATTTTCCTATAATCTTTTACTCTTGATGTCTTCCCTTCTTACAAGTGCAGCCAGACATAGTCAGGTGTCTACCTTGGACATGGTGGTAGGGACTGTTACATGTCTGGAAAAGAAAAGAAAGATGAGGAAAGCCATGAGATGGTTGCCCATTTCTTGGTGGGATTTCTCTTGAAGGTGTTCATCGTTGCCGGGTAACATGCATTGGTGGTTACACGAGCTACATCTGGACTCCATATGTAATAGCTATTTCATGCAAATCAGATGCACAAGGGCTGATGGTTCTTTGATGTGTCAAAAACCTGAATGTTTGACCTTTTTCGTGGTGTTCTCTTGGCTGTGAGTTGACTTTGAACCATTTTTAAGAAAACATCTTACAGAAAGGTTTCAGCTTGCTATGACTTGCAAATAAATTAGTTCGAGCAGACCACTAACTGGACAGTAAATTAGTGAACTGACGCCTTAAATGGTTCAATAATCAATGCAGTTTTGATAACTACGTTAAAATACATTTCTTGAGGTGAATGCTCTACTCACTCCCAAATATGACGTCTCTACTTAAAATGAGGGGAAAAGGAGTATTATACTTGCTACTTCTGCTGATACATTTTACGGGTTATTTCCAGTTTGTAAGCTACTGCAATAGCACAAGGTGTCTTCCTTGGTTTTATGATTGTCGCATTTCTGGAAAAGAAGAAACAGGAAGACACTTTGATGCGTGGGTTTTCCATTTAAATATAGTACATCCTTGAAGTGTCCATTATTGCCCAATAATAGTTTAATTATTGTTATTTGAGCTCCTTTTGGACCCTCATCTAAACTGTATGCCCATATATACATATGATTTTAGTTAAAGGCAGCTTGAAGTGGAACTTCACTGCTTTTTTGCTTTCATTTTCCTATAATCTTTTACTCTTGATGTCTTCCATCTCAAAAGTCCGGCCAGACATAGTCAGGTGTCTACCTTGGACATGGTGGTAGGGACTGTTACATGTCTGGAAAAGAAAAGGTAGATAAGGAAGGCCATGAGATGTTTTCCCATCTCTTGGTGGGATTTCTCTTGAAAGTGTTCATCATTGCCCGGTAACATGCACTTAAATTGTTGCACGAGCTACATCTGGACTCCATATGTAATAGCTACTTCATGCAAATCAGATGCATAACATCTGGTGTTTCTTTGATGTGTTAGAAGCCTTAATATTGGACCTTCCCATGGTGTACCCATGGTTATGACTTGCGAACACATTGGTTCGAGCAATGGACCACTAATTGAAAGAGCAAATTAGTGAACTGATGTTCCTTTTGGACCCTACATCTGAACTGTATGCCCATATATACGTATATTTGAGGCGAAGGTGTCTTGCAATGGAGCTCCACTTCTTTTCTGGTTTCATTTTCCCTATAATCTTATACTCTTGATGTCTTCCTTCTTACAAGTGCAGCCAGACATAGTTAGGTGTCTACCTTGGACATGGTGGTAGTGATCGTTACATTTATGGAAAAGAAAAAGAACATAAGGAAAGCCAATGAGATGGTTGCCAATCTCTTGGTGGAATTTATCTTGAAGGTTTAATCGTTGCCTGGTAATGTGCACTTAATGATTAAAGGAGCTACATCTGGATACCATATGTGATAGCTATTTCATGCAAATCAGATGCATAACGTCTGATGATTCTTTGATGTGTCAAAAACCTGAATATTGGACCTTCTTCATGATGTACTCCTGGCTGTGAGTGGACTTTGAACCATTTTTAAGTGAACATCTTACTAAAAATTTTCAGCTTCCTATGACTTGTGAACAGAGTGTTTATGAAGGATTTATGTATCTGACCATGTTCCCAAAGTCCTCACCTCCTCTCTTTACGTTTTATTGCATATTACTTGTTCTTCACAACGATGAGATTGGTTAGCTTTTTATATGCTGCTAGATACATTGTTAAATATATTGGTTCATGATGCTGTCTCTCTCATTTCTTGTTGGCTTGTTCGCGAGAATCCTGTCCTGCTCACTGATTCTCTCTCTTTTTCTGATGAAAGTGTTGACATTGATCATGTGTGAATGGTCCCTGATCTTTGTTGACTCTAGGTTTTGTGAGTGGTTGTTTGTCACTGGAAATTAGACAAATGAGCTATAATACCGTCCTTCATTTTTTTGGTTTTCCAAAATCTCACTATGCATGATGAAAACCTCTATCTGCAAATTTCTTCTTTATCTTTTTATAAAAAAATTATACGTGAAGATAATATCTGAGAATGGAATTTTAGGTGGATAAATTGTTGGGGAGTGTAAAATGGGATGACAAAGGTTTAGCGGTAGCAATAGCGCAAAATGTTGATACAGGAGCCATATTAATGCAAGGCTTTGCTAACAAAGCTGCCTTGGCAACAACTATTTCTACTCGAAAGGCAACTTTCTACAGCCGATCACGGTCAACATTGTGGACAAAAGGGGAGACCTCGAAGAATTTCATCAATGTTCATGACATCTTTATCGATTGTGATCATGACTCTGTATGTTGCAACTTCTTTAAATAGACTACTTTTTCAGCATTTTGCTACTGGCAATTTTTTTACTGAGAAATGTTTCTCAGATAATTTATCTTGGAAAACCTGATGGGCCAACCTGTCACACAGGAGCTGATACCTGCTATTACACATCAGTTTTTGATCTGTTAAAAGATCAACAGGTCTGTGACTGATATTTCATGTCCATTACAGCATTTTTAATCCTGAATTATTGCTTATAGTTAAATTTGATTTTACATGGCAGGTTGAAGAAAATAGACAGGCATTGACAACATTGTACTCCTTAGAATCTACAATTTCCCAGCGGAAAGCAGAGTTGGCATCAGCGGATGGAAAACCTTCATGGACTAAAAGGTTATTGCTTGATGACAAGCTGTTATGCTCCAAAATCAGGTATATAAGATTCTATTTAAATGGTTCCACCTCCTCAAGAAACCCATACAAAGGAGAGTTGGAAAGAAATGCTAGAACATTTAAGCTTGTGAGTGTGTTTGGATTGGCTTATTAGTTTTGGTCAAAATCGATGTTCATAAACCATTTAGCTTTAATGAGCTTTAAACGAGTCATAGTAGAAAGCATATTGATGCATATAAGGATTGTTAAAGTTTCTATTGCCCCGAAACATATGGCAGAATTTGTGAATGAATGCATCAATCGGTAGTCTATCTAGATGATTTACTAGCATCATATCTTCCTCTGCAGGGAAGAAGCTGATGAATTATGCCGAACTATAGAAGAGAAAGAGGACAATGCGCGAACAGCCTCTGAGATGGCAGATGTGTTATATCATGCCATGGTTCTGCTTGCACTTAAGGATGTTAAGATAGAAGATGTACAGGAAATTCTTCGGAAAAGATTTACCCAATCAGGAATCGAGGAAAAGAAAAGCCGTACCATAAAACAAAGCTCATAAAAAATTTTCACTAAGGTATGGAGTTGAGAGCTAGAAGAACTGCTTTTTTGAATAATGTATCTTGGCGGAAACTGTGGTTTTCTCTTATCATGCATTGTAGACTAGTTTGATTTTCAGATTTGCTATTTTTTATTGTCAGATTTAAAAAATATATATGATATATTTAACAATTATCTGAACTTTTAAGCTATTGTAATATTTGGACGTGTTGTACCAATTTTATAAATTATTATATTTTCAAACATTATATTAAAAATCATAATCTTTTATTTATTGAGATTGAATGTAACGCTCTGTCCTAAATATAGAAGCGTTACCATAACCTGTTATCTTATTTTATGACAAGTATCCATCACGCAACAAATTTCTATCACTAAATTCATTAAAATGCAAAAATAATCTCTTTTCAAGTAAGCACCTAAAGAGTATATGATTAATTAGTATGAATCGATATCACAATAACTCTAGTATCAATGGTGATAAAGTGTATACATTCGTGTATATTAAGAGAGTATCTTATACTAACGGTCGCTCATTCCTTAAGTGTGGTGCTTCATTGTTGGGCATTTTGATTCTGACTTCTAATCTAACACATCTAGAAACGAAAGTAATAAGTATCAATATGTCCATTAAGACAATTTAGAACTTACGACTAAAATTATGGAAACTAATTAATTTCCTATCCTGACATTCCTCACTTAAACTCTCTACACCCTCCCCATTCTCTTGTCACTTGTTACCCATACTTCCCTCTATAATGGAATAATCGTTCCCCTAGAGGATTTGTTCCTTAAATCCACTCAACTAGACCTATTGCTTACCAATGCCCTTTATCCGCTGCTCACATCAAGCACCGACATTCCTAACATACACTTCTAACACCCACGGCCACCGAGTGACCACTACCACGCACACCACAACACCAAAATACATACACACATACACTTATTTCCACATATACTGACACATTAAGCCATTAACTATCGGCCCTGAAGGGCCACACACACAAATACATTTCACTTATGACCATTATCTTACCTCGATATCATAAATAATCATCTTCTACAAACCACACACACATACACCTTACCACACCTCCAGCCTAGAGAGGCCACACACACACACCAACCAGTCAATTATCGATTTCCAAACTTGAAACAACAGTCTGTGAAGACCACACATGCATACTCCAACCCACAACAACCCCGACAATGCCCGGTATAGAGATGCCACACACACACACCTACTAGGCCACCTCCACCTTAACCAAAACCAACGGCCTGTAAAGGTCACAGGTACACACATGGTACCGTACAGAACCACCCCAAACCAGCAACTCTCAGCGGGTGAAGGCCTTTCACGGATCCACACCCAACCTACAAACCCAGCCATGAAGGCCACGCACACACACACTCATGCCAACCACATCACAGAATCACACACTTAACACTACAATACTCAACCTGTAGAGGCCACACATGCACACGCAGGGTACAACATCGAATTGCACCTTCACACTGTAACACTCGGCCTGTGAAGGCTACACACGTACACATACCTCTTTCCTGACATTCGTCGCACCAGAACACACAACGTAACTCTTCTCCTCCGCTTCTATGAACTTGCCCTAACTTATACAACTCCCGCTCCCCTTATAACTTCACCTGGCCATTTCTAGCTGAGTCGCAATAGTTCTCCTCCCAATCGATATTACTCACATCCACACTCGACCTAATGTCTTCAACTGCATCCCTCATCCCTCACTCCTGATCACATAACTCAATCTATCCTAGGAAAAGAGGAAAAGTAGATATTTGAATATGTTTTACTATAACCGAATTTGAAGCCCTAAACTTTCTTACTTCTTGTCTCAATTTTCTATCCCTCAGCCACAATTCACTCAACTCCTCTTGTTTTTCGAATTCTCCCCACGATTTCACCCTCATTCGCTTTCATTTGTCGCTCTCTTGGTCTCCCTCCTTCTTCTCTTTCTCTTTTCCCTTGTTCTTTCCTTTTTCTAACCCACAATTCCCCTTTATACACAACCCAGCTCAAATCCTACCTGTTGAAATCCCTCCCCTAATCTCCACCGTTCATTCTATCTCTTTACTCTCTCTCCCTTATTCACCTATGCTAAACTCTTATAACGGATAAATTTTAATTTTAATTTTATTAAATTTTTATAATTTTTATTTCAATTTTAATTATATATATGCATATAATTTGTTTATCTTGATTAATAATATGCACTACTTATTAATTTAAATCTTAGTACATAACTGAACTAATTTTTTTTTATTTTTTTATTTTATAATTATAATTTTATATTTTTATTTTGAAAAATTTAACTCACATAACCACTAGACCAAATTGAATATTAAACTAAATAGAATTGTAGTGTCATTTTAATACTTTTGTATGATATTACTATTTAATAAATTTTAAATTAAACTTCGACATTTTATAAAACGTTACGTCATAGTATAATTGTAACGAGTCGGAAAATCAAAAAAAAAATAGATAATAACTTAAATGCGGAAGCGAAGTAAAAAGTTAAGGTTTACATTTCTTACACAATAACTCAAAAGTACTAAACAGTATTACGAAATTCATTCTTTAAAAGAAATACAAGAAATAAGAAAACCAACGGAAAATAGAAAATATTTAGCATCTACTCGCAATCTTCTTGCGGATCGGGCTCTGAAACCTAATCCTCTTGATTTGAAATGGTTAAATAAAGGATGAACTATACTAGCCCAATAAGAATATCACATTATATCACTGACACAAAAGTAAAAGTTGGTATAAAATCGAAAACCACTAATGGAGCATTAAATTTAGCAAATTTATTTATCGATCATAAAATCATTTATCGTTCACGTATCATAGTGAAATTTATGGAAACAATATATAAGAACAATAATATCATACAGACCAATATTTCATGCATAATCAGCCATCATAGTACATATTATAAATCCATATCCATTATCAATAAATCAAACAATAACTAACACTTTTTTCACCAACCTGCTGGCATCCATGGATGTTTATAGGGATGCTTCCACTACACATGAACCATTTCATTTATCATTCTCAATTATCGGCTGTTCTCATACCTCGTCCGATATGAATGCCAATTTACCAAATCTCAATACCCCGTCTGGTATGAGGGTGAAGTAGACTGTCTCCATAACTCGTCCAGTATGAGTGCTAAATTATCAAGTCTTCATACCTCTTTCGGTATGAGACAATGTTCATGATAGGGTTCTCTATGTACCCGGTCCATCCATCATCTCTCAGGATATCCAGTAAGACTGTCTTTTTATCTAATCATTTAATCACACAATTTCTTTACCGTTTAAACTTTATTTTTTTCGATTCAGCAGTAAACACGTAAAATAAATCATACATGCGTTCAAAACTATAAAATAAATAAATAAGATACCATCATATAGGTAAAATGTAAAAATAATCAACAACAGCAGTAGATAATTTATGGTTCCGCCTCTATTAGCAACCTGTAATTAATTATACATGTTTACTAAAATCGTACAAAATACCACATTATTATTTATTTAAACTTCAGTTCTATGATAGAGAATAGGGTGAGAGATTTTTACTCGATTTTGACGCTTAAAAGCTAAGCTGTTTACTGCGCCTACGGGGGGTCCCTAGGTTCCCTTAATTTTTCTTCGAGAATCGAAACACACTAATAGTACCTAAAAATATTCTAAATAAACCTAAAATCAATCCCAGGGCCCATTCAGCCAATTTTGAAATTTCGGCACAGCAGCTCTGCCATGTTCCGGCGACGGTGTCATCGCCCGCGGCGGCAGTCTACCTCGTGTTGGCCGTTTTCGATCATTTTCGGCCGAATTCGGTCGATTTTGCATCGATCCCTGCGAGAAAATACGTTAAAGGATCTCAGTTTGTCCAAAAAAATATGAAAAACTGAAACTCATTGGCGACGGGGCTCTCCAGTGCAGCGGCTCCTCCGGCTCCTGTTGCAGTTGGGTGTTTTGCTTCGGTCAACCTGTAAAGAAGAAAACGGTGATCACAGCAGTAGAAAAATTACGTGAAATGGAAATCGAGAAGGTCCTCATTTGAGGTGTTTTGTGAAATTTTATGCGGCGGTGCCGCTTGGCTTCACCGATGTTTTTCAGCCAATTAGTTGCTCTTTTACTCCGATTTGGCCATGGGTGAGTTTAAAATTGAATTTCGTGCAAAATTTTTTTTTTTACCTTTTTTGGCGGTCGGAAAGGGTTCCGGTGCAGTAGCGGGTGGCGGCGGTTGATTCCCCAACAACTGGTTCGTCTTCTCCGGCGAGGGTTATTTATATCCGTTAGGGTTAGAGTTTGGTGCGGATGGGGGTTATTTATATCCGTCTGCTTTTGATCTATGCCGTCTATCACGTTTGATCTGAACCGTCCGATCATGATTAAATAAGGAGTGAATCTGGATCGTTCATCACGTTCTAATATGGACCTCAGTCGTTTGATTGCAGGCACGCGGATCGCCCATATGACCTCCTGTGTGGCCTCCAACATCAGTGTCTTTGCCACTTGGTGCGTCCTAGTTGATCAAGACTGCTGACAGGGCGTCTGACTTTGTGAAACTTTTCTAAATTGTATTTTGACTCATGTTTTTCGATTTTTCTTTCAAAAAATACCTCCATAACCCAAATTTTCACATATTTTTCCTTAAATTATTTTTAATTTAATCCTCCATCAGTTTTATTTCATTTTTACCTTAAATAAAATAAAATAAAATAATAAAAATTATATTCATTAATTATTTAATTAAAACAAAAAGTTTTGTGAGTGTTACAATAATACGACCATAATATGAACAATATTCTATTTATTTTGTTTTATACATCAAGTATGAACATTTATGGATTCACAACCAAATTAAATCGGACAATGCTAACATTTTGTTGTCATCAAACTTAATTTGGACGGTTATGTCAATTGGATAGTTTTTTTTCTTTAAATTTCTTTAATTAAATTAATTAATTAATTCAATAAAATAAAAATAAATAATAAATTCATAACTCGTAATTATTCATCAATTAATTAAATAAATAATAAGTTAATTGATAGTTATAATTTTTTAAATATTTATTTTTTGTAGAATGATCGATATTGAACAAAACATAATCTAGTTGACTTTGTTAAATTTAATTTTTCAATATAAACCAAAATTATAAACTAGATATATAAGGAAAACAATAAGCCCAATTTTTTTATTACTTTACTTTAATATAGATCCACTATGGTTTTAAAAAGCTCATGGATTTTATGGTTGACTTGAAATGTATACAACTTAATAATTTTACGATTGCTTTGGCTATTTTAATATTTCAACATATCTTTCGACAAGTGTATGATTGATTATGGAATTTCAATTTTAACTTTTTTATAAAATCTCATATTAATTTAGGGATTCGAAAGTAAATTATTAAAAAATAACTAATTATAAAATATTAATGAAATAAATATTAAAATATTTAAATACTACAAGTACACTACTCACAATATAACGTTAAAATATTAGAATTATATTAAAATTTTTTGTTTATTTTTATGATATAGAGTTGTTTTATGAGTTTATAGTAATAAATAAGTTAATTTTATGTCATTTTTATTATTTTTATATAATTTTATTAAGTTACAAAATAACATTTCTCATATACATTTTTAAATATTAATAATACTAAAATTTATCATGTTAATTTGTACCCATAAGCAAGAATAAAGATGAACACTATTTAATCATTTATATTTATTAATTGAACGTTACAAATAATTAATTAATTATATGTCATATTGCGAGTTAGTTATATTTTTTTTATATAATTTATTTTTTAAGCTTATAAAGTTTTCTTAAAAACATAATTATTTATGAAAACTTTAGAATTACTAAAATGTATCTATGTATTACTTGATTAAAATGACAAATGGCTTTAAATATATATATATATTGTTAATTTAGGAGGAAGATTTTGAAACTAGCTATTGCATGTCTTTTTCATATTAATACATATTATTAATATATTTGTTGCTTAAATAAAATAAGCACGTTATTTTTTTTTTAATTTTATTAAGGTTGATAATTAATCTTTTTTTTTTGTAAATTTTATTAATTTTTTTAAAAAAATTATATACTTTTTATAAAAATCTATATATTTATATAAAAATATCATAAATTTATATGCTTAATGAACAAATTGTAACAAACATATTTTTATAATATAATATAATATATTACAATAAATAGAAAAAAATTAAATGCCAATTTACCATGATAAGTGAACAAAATTAGAAAAACATATCAATAAAAAAAATTTATAGTAACAAATTGAAGACAACCTACCAAGTTAACATTTTTGTGATTTTCTATTAAATAACAAGATTTTGATATTAAACGAACATAATAGAATAATATATTAAAAATTAAGATTCTAAAAATACAAGCATAACCGTGAGATCACGATGATCCATTATATCTCGTACATATTTTTATTTAAATTTTTATATTAACTCATAATTATAATACTAAATTTAGTTTAAAAATATTTATTTATATTTATATTATTATATAATTTTAAATGTAAACAAAATCGAACATTTTATAGAATAAAACTCATCATATTTTATAATATAATGTGAGATACTATAAACAATATTGAACCTATTTTATTTGGTGCACTAAGTATGTATGCTTACCTATTTAGAAATATTTTTATTTAAATTTTTATATTAACTTATAATTATAATATTAAATTTACTTAAAAAAATTATTTGTATTATATAATTATATGATTTTAAATGTAAACAAAATCGAATATTTTATATAATAAAACTCATCATATTTTATAATATAATGTGAGATACTATAAACAATATTGAACCTATTTTATTTGGTGCACTAAGTATGTGCGCTTACCTATT